ATAAGATAAAAATCGCCAAAGTTAACTTAATTTAAAAATATTTCTGACGAACAGATATTACAAAACGAGATAAACTACAAACAGTCAAAAAACATTTTCATACAAATAATGACGACAATTTTGAAATATTTAAAAAAAATTATATCAAAGTTTGGAGCTTTTAAGTACAAACAAAGATGGAGAAAAAAAATGACTACAGATGCAATGAAGAGAAAATACGAATCGACCATGACCACGAAGAAGCAAACATTGTTACTCAACATTCATAATTTTTTTTGAGAGTAAAACATTCATAAATATATATACACACAATTTAAGAAAATACGAGAGTAATGAAACCTGTGCGGCAAAGTAGATGCTACAGATGCTGGCCGGAGATGTTGGAGACGAGGCGTGTTGTTGGAACCGTCGCTGGCTATCTCACTGGTTGAGGACGGATGCCATGTCTCTGCTAGGGCAACAATAATACGCGAATTGTCCAAGTACACTTTAAGTATTTTAGACTTTGGGACGGATTTGGAAAGGCATTTTAGGATCCATCCTAATCCACCGCCATTTGATTTTTCGGTGTTGTCTCCGATTTAGCAAGGAATTATCCGACCCAATATCACCATTTACCAAGGTGTCAGATCGAACGGTCACAGTAACTTTGGGGGGGCTTTGGGTCGGATTTATTCGATCCAAAAACAACAATTACCTAGGTTGTCAGATCTGACGGCCAACACATGCTTGTCTCGGCCCGGACGCAGCCAATTCCGTTCCAACTTACTATTCCCGTATTTAATTATTGGATTGGGTCGGATTACGCTAGGATTTAAACCGAGCCAAATCTATGAGACAATTTTACACTTCTAATTTTACAATTGCAACTCTTTGTCCAAAAAAATATACAAGTATTACGAATTTGGTATTTGTATAATGGAAAAATCATTCAGCTTGGAAAATTCTTGACATTATTTTTTAGAATGTTGTATTGAATTCGGAGCTAGTAATGTATAGTATTACGAATAACAAGTTGTTTTTATCACCTGATCTGAATGTTTTTAATCTAAAATTTTAAAGTTCTGATCTGATCTGAATTTTTCTGATCTAATCTGAATCTTTCTGATTTGATCTGATTTGAATATTTCTATAAATATTATTACAATTACTCTGTATAAAAATAGTAGTAGTAATAATAATAATAATATCCATATAATTAAGAATATTTCAATAATTATAATTATAATTATAATTATAATTATAATTATTATTATTATATGATTTATCAATTTTATTATTATATTAATAAAAATATTATTATAATTATAATTACTTCGTATAACAATAATAGTAGTAGTAGTAATAATAATAATATCCATATAATTATGAATATTTCTATATTTATAATTATAATTATAATAATCATTATTATTATATGATTTATCAATTTTATTATTATATTAATAAAAATATTATTATAAAAATGTAGTAATAATGTAATTAATAATATTATATTATTATTAATAATATTATTATAATAACAGTATTATTATTATCTTACTATTATTATAATACAATTTAGTTGGAGTAAAAACATCTTAATACAATAATGTTTTAATAAAAGAACATTGAGTGCAGATAAAATGTAATAGGAAAAACATATATACAAATTATTCATCTTCGTCTTCAGATTCCTCATTGTCAACATAATCTTCTTCATCTGTGTCATCTGTGAGAAAGTTCCACTCTTCTTCATACTGAATTCCATCTGGACCATCATTGGCATCATTAAGGTCAAGGTCTATTTCTGCACCAGTAGAATCTTCTAAACAAATGTTCCCGTTCATGGTGTCAGGAATCGGGGGCTCAAAAAATTCTTGTTGATAAACATCAATATCAACGTTTTTATGTTGCGCATGAGAAACAATTTTTCTTGGTCTAATTGTGCATGCGCAAACCCATGGAGAACTTGTTTGACGTGTCGTCGGATAATCAGCATAATACACTTGAGCTGCTTGTTGAGCTAAAATGAATGGCTCATTTTTCTGATATACCCGTGCATGATTTACATCAAGTAAGCTATGTTTGTGATTCTTTTTCACCCCCCTCACAGGATCTACCCAAGTACATCGAAAAAGCACAATCGATAACTCCTTTTGACCAGGCAATTTCATCTCCAATATCTCATCTAGATATCCAAAAAAATTTGTCTCTGAGTTATCATAACTGCAAGTCGGGACAGACACTCCGCTATTCATTGTGGGTTTATTGTTTCCATAGGCACGGGTATGATATTTGTAACCGTTGACAAAATATATAGACCAACATTTGACCAATGTTTCAAGACCCCATGCTAATGATTCCAAAAAGGGATCAACAGTCGAATATTTAGCTTTGTTGAGGATCTGCATATGACAACAAATCGAGATATTTAATATGTTAATGGGTAGTTCACACAACTGACCACAATATTGTAGAATAATTTTGTGTGCCGTGTTCTTGAACCATGATGCAAAATCAGTGTCTATCATCAAATCAATCTCTTCATTTGAATAACCAACAAGATCTTCTCTAAAGTCACTACAAATTTTAATATGTGAAAGTAATTAATGATATGTATGAGTGGTATAAAGAATAAAATGTTAAACGATTAACTTACTTATAAAACGGAATAACCTCCGGACAATTCATTAAAATGTAGGTGTGCGCAATTCGGAACTCATCTCCAACAATATAGCGATGTGTGTTTCTCCCATAACCTCTCCCAGGATAATTGAAGATGGAAACCATTTGCTCATATGATGCCTCATCAATATCGTCATTTCGAGCAGGCCTCTTTCTCCTAGTCATGACATCTCTTTCAAAATAGAAAGAAGAAAATGTTGAAACCTCTTCTGTGAGGTATGCTTGACATATAGAAGCTCCCACATGTGCTTTATTTGTCACTTTTTTTTTCAACTCGCGTAGAAACCTGTCAATAAAAAATAATTGCAATATAGTAATACTATGTATTGATTATCACACTTTTGAATATAATTCATTACCTCTCAAAGCTGTACATCCATCTATAAAATGGTGGACCTCCCTTGATAGCTTCATATGGAAGATGGAGTATTAAGTGCTCCATTCCATCAAAAAAAGATGGTGGAAATATTTTTTCCAAATTACACATTATAGTGGAGACATTGCGGTGAAGGTCCAGAAGTGCCTTTTGATTGAGTACAGGTGAACATATTAACTGAAACAATTGGCTCACGTCAGTAATACAATTCCATACACTCTCCGGAAGAAATTCCTTTAGAGCCACTGGAAGGAGGCGCTGCATAATTACATGACAATCATGACTTTTCATGCTCTTCATTAACAAGTTCTCTAAATCAACACAGCGTCTCAAGTTGGATGTGTATCCATCAGGAAACCGCAACTTTGTGAGCCACTCCAAAATTCTCTTTTTTTGTTCATCTGTGACTTGGTAAATTGCTTTCTTGAAGGGGCCTTCATACTCGGGGCCCATAGCAATTTCCGGTCTATCACAATATAGAGCTACATCCTTTCTTGATGATAAACCATCTTTGGTTTTTCCCTTGAAATTCATGACCGTGTTAAAAATGTTATCGAAAACATTTTTTTCAATATGCATTACATCCAAATTATGCCTTATGAGAAGATCTTTCCAATATGGCAATTCCCAAAAAATACTTTTTTTTGTCCATTTATGATGAGTCAAATACCCCTCAGGGTACTCGAGTGGTTCATCCATGGCAGAAGGGATGTTTCGAACGCGATTATAAATCTCATATCCTGATAACCTCGGAGGCGGAGGATCACGCTCAATGCGACCCTTGATAAATGACTTTTTATCCTTTCTATATGAATGGTTCGGTGGGAGAAATCGACGGTGACAATCAAAGTAAGATGGTTTGCGGCTATTCTTGAGCCAAAATGCATTTGTCTTCTCCATACAGACAGGACATCCCATGAGACCTGCAGTGCTCCATCCAGAAAGCATCCCATATGCCGGAAAGTCACTAATTGTCCACAAAATTGCAGCTTTCAAATTAAATATTTGATCTCTTGAAACATCATACGTAGGAACACCCACATCCCATAAATGCTTCAGCTCTTCCACCAATGGCTGCAAATACACATCAAGCCTTTTCTTTGGATTATCCGGTCCTGGACACATTAAGGTCAAAAACATGAAATGATTTTTCATACACATGTCCGGTGGGAAATTATACGGTGTGATGATAATTGGCCAACAAGAGAACTGACTTCCAAATTTACCGTACGGAGCAAAACCATCTGCACATAATCCAAGTCGAACATTGCGTGGTTCTATGGCAAATTGAGGGTGGCACTGGTCAAGATGCTTCCACGCTTGAGAATCTGATGGGTGACACATTAACCCATCTTCAGTGTCATGCTCGAGATGCCACGTCATGTGTTTAGCCGTAGCACTTGAGGCATACAACCTTTGCAAGCGTGGAGCTAAAGGGAGATATGTCAACTTAGAAACTGCAGATCTTTTTCTTGGTTTGTGACGTGTAACAGATATAGGCTTGTACCTTTCCGCATTACAAAACTTACAATGGGTCAATGTCTCATCGTTCTTCCAAAAAAGCATGCATCCTCGGGGGCATGCGTGGATTTTAATCATAGGAAGACCCAATTCCGAGACAAATTTTTTCATGTTGTAGTAAGTATCAGGGAGACAATGATCGCGTGGTAACATGCTACCAACAGAATCTAATATTCTAGACATGTAGTTTTCTGAAAGGTTATATTCTGATTTGATATTCAATAATTCAGAAACCGCTGACAATTGTGAGTGACCTTCACAATCAGAATACAAAGGTTGATCTGCACTTTTAAGCACATCTTGAAATATCTTGCCTAATGTATCAACATCATAACCATATGAGTTCATTCCCTCATCATAATGATTTTGTCCCACAAAATCATTATTCGGATTATTATTCTGAAGAGTAGAAGGACCTGCCAAATCATAAACCATTCTTTGATCCCATGACATGTCTTCATAATTGCCCCAAGTAGACATCTCCTCCGGAACATAACGAGACATTCCTACAGTTTGCGGCACAAAATACGACTCCAACGGCTCACCTTGGGAAATCCAATTGTAATAGTTGTCTATAAAACCATGTGTATATAAATGCCAATAAACTTCATCACTTTCTACAAATTTTCTATTTTTACATTCCATACATGGGCACCTTATTTTACTTCCATCCATGTACTGATGTTGTCCCAATGCAAATGTAACAAATTCATTAACTCCATCCTTAAACTCTTGTGTCAATCCTCTACCAATGTCAACATAACGATTATACATCCAACTTCTACTTTCTTTATACATTGTGCCTGAATATTAGAAAAACATAAATGAATATTTATTCATTAAAATTGCAATTAACTACTTCGCAAATTAATTCTATCCTTAATTTGTTTCAATACATTTCATATTTCATTAATAATTACTCCGTAAAATAAAAAAGTAATAACAAATTAAAACAAACGAAAAAAAGTCAAATAAAATTAATAAAAATTAAAAATTAGAATTTTTTTTGTAAAAGAATTAGAAGTTTTTATATTTTTAAAAACAGTAAGTGAGAGGCCTCCATATTAAATAAAATCAATAAAAATAAATAATTCTGAATTTATTAATACTTTTTTATTAAAATTTAATAAAAAAAGGAGTTAGCGGCCTCCATGTTTTTTTTTATATTTTAAATGTGTGTTATCTATTTTTCGTACATATTGTAATTTATTTTAATTTTTATTATTTTATGGTTTTTACTATTATTTTTTCTATTAAAAATTTAAGGATGTTTTCTTTTGGACTGAAATTTGCTGGTCTGGTCTGGTCTGGTAAACGCCCGGTCTCTGATATTTGAAAACTACGGAAGTCTGGTCTGGTCTGGTCTGATCTGGGACTGAAAACAGTCCAAAAGAAAACATCCTAAATTAGAAGAATTTGATTTTATACTCCACTAAAATATGGTATACTTTAGTCGTATTTTTGGAAGATAAATAACATATTCGTATTTGTGTATTTAGAGAAGTGTTTAGTCCTATTTAAACCTATTACTAGCATACAATTGATATAACATAAAACAAGATATAATAATCATAATTAAACATACAGATAAACAATTGCTTTATTGAAAGACACTAAATAGAGAATTACATACCTTATGATGCGTAGATAATAAATTTCTAAGAAATCCCACCATAATAATTCCATAAAACTTCCATCATCTCAGAAGAATTCAGCATTTTATCAGAAGAGTTTGGGTGCAGGGATGAGTATGTGTAATGAAGGCAGATGTAAAATTCAAACAAAACATTAGTTATTTATTATTTTATTTGGCAGGGAAATCGGCAAGGAAAATAAACAGTACTGAAAACCTTTTCAGTGTACTTTGGTGCAGGCAATTAATGTTGGCAACGGTAACTTAATGGCAAGGAATTTGGCACGGAAACATCTTGGCTCGATCGTTGGCAGGGAACAATCCGAGCATACGCACCAGTATAGCAATCATCCAACAGAATTGGCTCGGATGTTGGCTCGCACAACGTTGGAACGGAAGGGAATTGAGCCAAAATGTCCTCCGATCCCATTTAATTGGCTGCCGGCTATAAATACTCGGAGTTGTCTGGGAATTTGGCTCGGAATAAACCGACGCAAACGTTTGGCTCGGACTTTCCCTGCCAATTGCGCATCTCAGGCATTTTCAGCCCTATTCCGCGCCTACCGCCGCACCAAAGTTGGTTGGGAATATTTCCCAGCCAAAAACCTTGCCTAAATCGAAGTTTTTTTGTAGTGACCGTTAGGTTAATGAATAAATTTAGTAGTGTGAAGCTCACGTATCTTAGTGTTATGATTAAATATGAAAACAAAAATTACATTATACTAATAAATATAATTACATTTCTTTAATTTGACAAATTTAGATTGGTGTGTTGATGCTTATTTTGAAGGTTATTGTTATTTTACCACACAACAAATAAGTGATGGTACCATAGGTACAATGCATTTGATGGGTTGAAGTCCTAATTTCATAATTTAATTTTTATGTATCCACTTAAATAAGCTAATAAGATGCCTTGAAGTACGGTAGAATGTATTTTTTTAAGGGTTAAAGGGCAAATTAGCCACTATGGTATGTCTAAAAGTGCAAATATGACACTAACCTATTTATGGGTGCAAATAACATTAAACAACAAGTTTAATTAGCGTTTTAGCCACCCACTAACGGAAGTAAACATAATTTGACGTTAAAGTAGAGTTGATATAAACGACTCCACATGGGATTAAACATTTGAAAAGGTCCATTTACCTAACCATAATCCATTTATGTACCAGGTTTACAATGACAAGGGAAACTAATGTATTGACCACACAACTTTTAACTAAGATAGAGAAAAAAGAGGTAAAATATCCCACTCAATTGAAGCTGCTATGTCCAAAGTTATTTGGTTTGATGCTACATAAACTGAATATATATGTGTAAAGCAATGTCTTATGTATAACTCAAAAATCTATGTTAATAATTTAGATGATAGGATAATGTTTATAATTTGTTTAATGTAGAAAGTTGGAATAACAATAATGTTTAAAATTATTTTGTTTAATGTAAAAGGTTGGAATGAGATTTCAGAAGTTTATACTTTATTAAACATAGATTCAAATCACATTGCTTACGACAATGGGCCAATAATGGCGTATCTTTGAATGAAGCTTTGGGTGTTCATTTTGTTTCTATAATTTAAAATGAAAAGAAAATAAATGATACTTCTTCCGTTCTTAAATAAGTGCAACACTTTCCTTTTCCGGCAGTTTCAGATTAATTGCAACATTTCTATTTTAGGAAATATGTTACAGCCAAAATGACTTCTATATCCTTATTTATTTAACCCACCAGGCCACCAGTCATGAGGCTATCAATTCATCACCCAAAATTGCTCTTTGTACACACATGTGTACACACTATTGTACACCCTACTTAAACCCAAAAAAATTACCCCCCTCCTTTCCCTCACTTCACTACCCCCGACCCACGCTTCTCACTCGCTCCCCCACTCCTCGAAAAATCAAAACTCCCAGTTCTTTCTCTTCTTCCTTTCAACGAGCGTAATCAACTTCTCCTCTTCGAAAATCAAATGTGCGGCAACCTTGAGTCGGTAAACGGCTGTCCCCCTTCATTCTCTCCCACATCCCCACGAAACCGGCACCCCCACTTACACTCTGTTCTTCGCGACTGATTCCAGGTGTGAATAGCCTTCTCGCTGCGGACTGAGGTTGGACGACGACGCACAGCAATGGTTCGAACCTCACTGGCAGAGATGGCAGAGAGGTATGTATCATTTCCCAACCTTTGTTTGTTTTTAGGTTTATTATTTAATTTGTTGGTTTTTTTTGCAATCTTCGAACCTGTGTCTGTGGGCTGGGTTAAAGACTTAATTTTGGTAAATATTGTCTCTGTATCAACATTTATGTTTCAAATTTTGTCTATGATATAGTGTAAATCCTTCCTTTGTTGATGTGCGCAAGTTGTCTGTGTGGTGGTGTAAAGTTCATTTGGAATGTTATTTATTGTCTGTGAATGAAATTATGTGTATGACATAGTGTTATTCCTTTGCTGATGTTTATAAATTGTCTGTGTGGTGGTGTAAAGTTCCGCTGGAGTGTTATTTATTGTCTGTGAATATACTTTAGGTCTATGAACGTCACTTTTTGTCTGTCTGCCCTAATAATTTGTTGTTCTTCCAACTGCCAGAGCCCTGAAGTTACGCATTCGTAGTCATGACTACTTCCCTGCCCAGTATTCGGTGTGTTCAAACTTTAGAAATGCTGCCAAATGGGTACACAGCAGCTTATCTGCAACAGAAATGGAAAACTTTGCAGATATATATGACAACTTCCCTATTGTGCTTATTTATTTGTTCATATATAGGAGAACAATATCTATTACTTTTTTCTTGTTGTGTGAACTAGAAATGTATTCTTTGGTTATTATAGGTGTGGGCTTACGAAGAAATTAATGAAGTTGGGAAGAACTTTGCAAACAAAGTGGGTAATCATGATGTGCTATTACTCAATTGGAAGGCCGAACGGAAATTTCATTACTCTAAGCTTAGACAAGTAGTATTTCCAGAGGTAATGTGTCATTGATTTTGTTAATGTTTTGTATTTTTATCATTTGACAATAAAGCTTCATTGATTTTTTACAAACATAGCGCATAAGCTTTTTTTTATTGTGTTCAGGTTTTTGTACCTTTGAATGTTGATGGGATGCATTGGGTTTTAGCGGAAGTTGACCTACATGCAAAATTGGCACGTGTATATGACTCCATGAAAACAAGTAGGTCAATGTTGCATGCGGCGCATTTGTGTGTTAGACTTCCGCTACTCTTCCGAGTCATACAAGCCCACCTAGATCTTTCTAAGGTAGACCATTGGAATGCTCAGGTAGCTGCAGATGTTCCACAACAAGAGGGAGGGTAATGTTAATCTGTTCACCTACAAATTTGTTTATGTGTAGTGTACTAATTTGTCTGTGAATACATATTAATTCGTTGTTATGTCTGTGTGGCAGAACTGTGTGCGGACTGATGGTTGTTTGTTATGCTGAGGCTTTGTTGTTGGGACTTCCCTTGACACCACATTGCGAGTATGCAAACGTGGCTAGAAAGAGATGGCACTTTGCGCTACGCCTTTGGAGTTTGAGGAAGGCAGTTTCTTAGAAAACATGCAATGCCCATTTTTTGCTAATGTATCAAACAGTATGTAGTTGTAATTAGCTGTTTTATTTTTTATTTTGGAATGGAATGTATGATAATGTACACTGTTGTGCTATGATCAACGGTGTACAATATCCTACAAGGTACTTCCCCAGGAGGGTACATATGAAGGTTGTACAAAACATTACTATGCTGGTTTTTGTGTAACGAAGTAACAATTTTTTATGAAATGTATCATATTGTTTTTTTTTTGTAAACCCTTGTGTCTGTGAGTATATAATATTGTCTGGGCGAGGTAATATGTATGTCCGTGACTAAATTATATTTCACTAAATTATGAAAGTGATATGATTTGTGAATAAATTGTGTCTGTGAGTTCATAGTCTTACTCTGCCTGGAATTGAACGTCACTGTGAGGACAAAATATTGTCTGTGACAAAAAACAGACAAAAACATTATAATTGTACACTAGTAGCTGCACCGTTTAACACCATTTAACACCAAATATACATTTAACACCAATTAATTCACATCAAAGATAGATTTAAATCTAAACCAGTAGAGTACACAATTGGCACATTAGCTACACTGTTACATTGGATTGTTGTGGTGGTGGCTCGTGCATTATCCTTCTTAGGCCTTCCTTTCTTCTTCCCCTTTTCTAGTGGACCCTTTGCTCGGTTTTTTCTTGGAGCTCCCTTGCGCTTTGTACATTTAGGATCTCCAATAGGTGGAACTTGGACCTCGCCACCTATACTTGTGGTTGGGTCTTCAAGTGGTGTCATGTTGCCACCAATAGAAGAATGGTTAACCGGAGGAGTATATGTGGACAATTGGGTGTCTAACCAAAGGAGGACTTCATTGTATTTGGCCTCATCATCCGCTATCATGTTGGCAAGAGTCTCAAAGGTCTTACATAACTTGTCAAAGCGGTCTTGTTCAACCGTTGTAATCCACCCATCATAATTGATTTTCACTCGTTGGTACGCTCTTTTCATGTCTTTCCTCCATCTTTTCATTAGGTACACCTCGGGCAAGAGTTGTATATCAAGCCGAATTATGACCACAATTAAGTGTTTACATATCATTCCCCTAAACTCAAACAAATGACAACTACATATTCCAAAACAACTAATTGGGTCAAGCTCAATATAGAAGTTCACATTCTTCTTAAACCCATTAATATCCATACGTTCCTTCACCACAAAATTTTTACCGTCTTCACATACTAGGAGATTACAATAAAGCTTTCCAAGTAATTCCGTTTGAAACTCCGCGAACTTGGAAAGGGTGTAAATGTGTTGCACTTGTTTTTCCATTGGATATGTAGTCACACATGGAATCATTTTGGTAAATGAGCTAGTATCCGCTTGAAATTCTTTTTCCACCTTATCACGCAAAGCACATCCGTATTGTTCAACAAATTGTTTGAGAGTGGTTTTGGAATTCACATACTTATCAAAAAATGCGTTCATGCTCTCACTTCGTTGAGTTGTGGACATGCCCGCCCAAAACGTTG